TCTGCTTCTTTTGGGGTGACCAGATGTTCCTGGCCAGCTCCATGAGCCTCATTCATTGGGCATGCTAGTTTCATGTGTGTAGTATGTTCATGAGTTTGTGTTGCATTTCAGGCATGTCTGTCAGGGAGAGCTCAACTGAGTCAACAACACTCTTGAGGAGTTCCTAGAATGACCTGAAGTCATCTGCAACATTGGTGGCAGATGCATAATCGTATCAGCAATGGAAGCTGATGCCATATTTATAGAAGTAAGTGTGTGTGTGTGTGAGAGAGAGAGAGAGAACAAACACCACATGTACTGTCCTCCCCGTCCCTCACCATATCTGAACTGTGTCTGTCTGGGGAGCGTTCGATTGTAGCGCTTGGCTTTTGTGCTGGAGAAAGGTACTGTGGTAGCTGCATCTGTTACATATACTGTGTTCTAAATGGTACCCATTGGTCCCAGTAAGGTCAGTTTGCTGTGATAGGAAGTGGGAGCCATTGATGCGAGTGCCAGTGCTGGTTGGGCTTGCGTGAGTATTACTGTATGTGTTGGTGTGAGTATGTGTTGCCGTTTAGTTCATCCTCACTAAACACCGGTACTATTGATGTGGCAGGGGTGAATGCCTTGATGTATGTGAGGTCCCATTGGTGCCGAAAAGGGGTGAGCCTGGTACCGATGTGACTAGGAGATACCCAGCGGTAGTGAACTGCGGCATTGGTGCTTGGTTTTTATGTTTTGTCAGCACCAAGTGTTTATTGGGTGCCGATAACACTGCTGTGGAGTTCCTTACCACTTCTACAAGTGGCTTTGTTGGTGCTGACAGCGCTTTAGCGCTCACTGCTTTGTTCTCGGCATGGCTTTGTTGTGGTGTCTATTGCCACTTCCCAGCACGGTTTTATCTTTGCCATGGCCAGTGCCGACAGTTTTGTGCTTGGTGCCAGCTCGGAAGGCTTGCCTTTCGCCTCTGTCTGTGCCTTAGTTGTAGTGTGAGTACTTAGCTTGGGGTCATGGCCCTTTTCGGTGCCGTCCCCATCAGCTTACTGCTGCTCTGACCCCTTTATTGTCTGGGTTTTGGAGGCAGTGCTGCTACGTAGGGAGCACTTTCTCGAGGGAGAATCTGTCCCCGAGGAGGAAAGAGACCTCTTCTTGGGCTGTTGCACCCTGTCACGGTCTCTTCCACTGGGCACAGTAGTAGGTACTCTGTCCGATGCCACCCCCAGTGATGGTGCGTCAGGTGAGGAGGGTAGTATGCTCTGGGTCTGAAGCAGGATGAGTCATCTTCTCCAAATGAAGAATTTTTAATTGTATTTTCTGGACCTTCTCTTTCTGGATGTTAGTTTATTGCAGCGAGGGCACTATTCACTAAGGTGCTCCTCCCCCAAACAGCGAACGCACAGGTCGTGTCCGTCAGAGACTGATATGGATAGCTTACAGACTGTGCACCTTTTAAAGCCAGGTGATCCTGGCATGACCAAGATAGAGTATGTTTCTGCATGTTATCGCCGAGAGTTCAATGTTCTGTAATCTACTATACTAATTAAAATGGAGTAACTAATAAAGGAAAATATATTCATTTAAATTTTAAGGTAACGAGCTAACAAATATCTACTACTACTATACCTTTTGTGGTAACTGTTGATCTAACTATGTACAAGAAAAAGATTAGTCGTGAGGTGAAGCGGGCAACAGCTAGGCTGCGACCGGTGGCGGTTAAGAAGGAACTGAAGCAGTGCCTGCGCATAGGGGCACCCCGCGTGCGCCGCTGACCAGGGGCACTGCTATTACAAACCTCCGATCGGAGTGCAGTGAAGTTGACCCATCTAAGGTGAAGCATCCACGGGATCCCTTGAAGAATTACCTTTTTTGCAACTGTGATGAGAAGTCCTTTGGCACCTTATAGACTAACAGATTTATTGGAGCATAAGCTTTCATGGGCAAAGACTCACTTTGTCAGACTAACAGGGCTACCCCCTGATACTTTTTTGCAACTGTATCACATTAACAACTCATTCCATATGTGATTCAGTTTAACCCCAGACCTTTTTCAGCAGTACTATTGCTTGCCTAGCAATTCCCCATTTTGTATTTATGCATTTGAGATTTTTCCTTCCTATGCAAAGTACTTTATCAACAAGATGGAACTGAAGTGTATCTGATCAATTTTATAACAAAAAAAGTATCAAGAATCTAAATGAGAATATGTCAAGCTATAAAATTGCTTAAATAAATATGCATAAATATCATGTATCCTCCTAATTAGCAAAAAGTGCCAAGTTTAGTTTAATATCTATATTTAGTTGCAAGTTAGCTCTTTTAAAAAAAAGGTTATCAACCAATGAAACTCAACCTCTCTTTAGGGAAATAAAAAAAGTACAGATGAAAAACAAGATTCAAGTCATTTAAATAAAGTTTTCCTGCTTTCTAATTTAAATCTATTGCATTAAACTGATTTAATCAAAGTCAATCCACTCAAATTCAAGGTACCCAGGGGCATGCTTTTGATTCTTCTGACCAATATCTCATAACACCTACTGTAAAACTTCAATCACAAAAAAATTTCCAGAAAGAAGATAACAAAACATAAGTATCTTTAGAATTCGCCTAGCAATAATTTCCAATTTCGTGAGTTAAAATTAGCTATCTATATAAAATCACCAACGAAAATTTAACTGAAAACACAGCCGTTTGTAAGTAGTGTGAGATACATAAGGCCCATAGGCTAGATCCAACCCCTGGCTTACATGAATCAGGTCTATGGTGGACTGATTTAAATCACAATTTAAATCACCAAAAAAAATTTACTTAAGTTTCCCCACTGTAATGTCTTCACAATTCTTCAAACAATGGCGCAAATCTGATCACTAAAACATGTTAATTTGCAGCTCAGTACAGTATTTTACAACTTTTTTTAGATATAAATCAAGTTATTGATTTAGAAAATAGTGCAAAATACTCACTACCTGTGTCAAGCTGCAGATGTAGCAACAGGGTATTAGGACTAAACCATACACACAAACACAACAGCACTTACATTTTATTAATATAGGGAGTCTGTCTAAAAAGCCAAAGACACTGCCCATGGTCTTCAGGTGCACTCAATTTCCAATTCAGAGATCTGTGTAGGTAGCTGTGACGCGTCAGGACCCGCTTGGGATTGTTACCTGATGTGCTGAGAACCCACTGAGCCTGCTTTCCCTGACAGCCTGAATATCTTGTAATCTTGTCTTGGTGTGCCAGACACACCAGCCTGCTGCAACACAGAAAAGGACCACATTCTCCAGGATGCAGACACACACTGAAAGCAGAGCAGCATGAGACCTCTTCCTAGCGCCATCTTATGTTGTATAGAGATCTGTACTAGGGATGTACAGGAGCGAGGCAGCAGGGGAGGGGAGGGGAAAACATGAGCCAGTGCTGTGCACTACCCCCATAACCAGTTTTCATAGACCAGGAACTAAGGGTATGTGCCATATCACCCTCAAAGTTGCTCTAAGAAGCTTCTTTCACAGTTCTTCCCGCAGTTCAGTCTGAGATGTTTACAGTCATTCTGAGAGGAGTTCCAGGGGAGAACTGATGGCAAAGATTACCTCATTCCTATTGCTTAAATAAGTTTTGCAAAAAGCAGGAATCCTTTATTTTCAGTCTAAATGTTCCTTCTACTCCTGTGGGAAAAACACAGCATTCAAGATGGATCTCTGCCTCAGGTGATATGGCCACATGTCTTAGTAGAACCTACCATAAGCCATTCCTCCCATTCTCAAAGGAAAAACATTCTATTCACTGATCACTGTCCTGAGTACTGGGCCATTAAGTTTCTTGAGTATTACTAATGGCTCTTATTTAGCAAAACTACATTAGTAACACAGGTTTTGTACTTCATATTTCTAACATAAAATACAGGAATGGTATATGCACACAAATAAAGAGATACACATTCAACAGACTGTAACCTTAATACGTCACATGAAATATTTTGCATAAAGCATATTCCAGTTACATTATATTGATACGCATATTCTCAAAGAATATGTCACAGCAGCATTTTGAGTATCTGAACTTTTAAATAGTTAAATAAATGCATTGCTGCAGCCTCTCACTGTATTTGATATTTTTCTTAAACACTCCAGCTCATTGAATCATATAGTTATAGAAATATCTGAGCTGTCTTGTAAAAAACAAACAAAAAACAAAACAAAAACAAGAAACCCAAAACCAAACACCTCTACCTCACCCTGAGAGAGAAAAGTTGGAAAATAAAAACCAAAGAGACAAAAGCAGGATGTCTTATAAAAAGAATGCCAACATGTTTTATTTCTTTACATCTCATGGTCTTTTGAGGCTCTGGCTTATGATTTTTGAATGCTTGGAATCATCCACACCCCAGCTGAGCAGAAGTAAACTAAAGTCCGTAACCTCTGTTTGGAAGGAATGACAAGGAATGGATCACTTGATGGTTACCTAGTCTGTTCTTTCTCTCTGGGGCACTTGGCACTGGCTACCATCAGAAGACAGGATACAGAGCTCAACGGACTTTTGGTTGGAGTACGGCTATTCTGAGTTTTCTACACATGTTTAAAAAGATGCCAATATAAAGAGTATTTCAGTTTAATGTAATTAATATGGAAATCAATCAGCAAACGTCAGCATATGTCACTGCAATTATCCACAAATATAGAAATCCTTTATTAAAAGGAAACAAAATTAAGGTAACATAAAACAGAATCCACTACAAGAGCCACATAACAGAATAACGGCTGAATTTGAAATGACCGTGGTTAGCAATGTATAATAATTAACAAAGTTTAAGAAGATTAGCTCATTGTTCCTACAGATGGAAAAGAAGAAATAAAATTGTTTTTAAATCAAATGAAGATCCTATGAGGACCTTAAACATTAGATACTTTAAAGTTTGCCTCGGAGTTAAATTCTGTTTTACTAGTGAAAGTGAGTTAATTTCAGAGTTATTTCATGGGGATTGCCTTACAAGCCTGCATTACACAATTTGCAATTCCACTTACCCATTGCTTTTGTTTCTTCTCGTTTAGCATTCAGAAGGGAAAATTTGAATTTTGCTCTGACTTCACTTTTTGGACAACTGACTAAAAGCAAATATAATGACAGGTAGTCTTTGCTTTCATCATCTAAACCCTTTGGGTTTACTCTCAGGCACCTGAAACAAATGTAAAGGACTAAATTTTAAAGTGGACAGAATCAATTTAGAAACATTTTGATAATATATCATGATGATGTACACCAACAAGTTAATGTTTCCCTTGTACTGCCCTCCCACTTCATGACTGCTGTAACAATGACTTTCTCTCACAAACACTAGATACTTAATATTACAAATCTCTCAGAAACTTCTCTTGATTCACTAATACATTACTTAACTTTCCAAACCCTTACGTGAGAAAGGCCACAAGCAACTGACAAATATAAGAGATCTTACCACTTCATTTTGTCATTTGGCCCTGATGAAAATGTAGAACTCTTTAAAACTTCACCCATTTCTTCTCGGCAAAAACTGAAGTTATTAATGGTCCACATGTAGGAAAATTTTACTACTTTAACCTGAACAAAAGATGTAGAAAATTACTTCAGTTTTTAAATTCACTTGTCACATGAGTAACTGCTACCAATGAGAACTATCTGAACTGTCAGCACTGTTCACATTTTTATAAGAAAACTATTTGCCTAGATTGAGCTTGTGAAAAGAAAAGCCCAATCACTGAAGTTTGTATGAGTTACCTGTGTGTAACACCAGCTTTCAGCTACAGGTCCACTGGACATCTCTCCAGGTGGTGGAGGGGTGGGAACTCTCGACATTGCCACCTTTACTGCAGATTTACAAAATCAAGGCAGCAGTCTACACTTCAGCAATTTTCCTATATAAATAAAGAGTACTTTATTTAATTAACTGGTTAACCATTTGCATCCTGATTTTAGGTAGTATTAAAGACAGAGCATAAATTTAATTAAAAAAAAACGAAGGGAGCTGTATTACTAGCAATAAGCTATGAGTACCTCCATAAGCAATTGCCACGTCCACTCCCATACCCCAACTGGGGGAGCAGCAGTGCACGAGCTGCTCGCTCTGTTGCTCTCTGCAAGCTAGGTCTGGCGGGGAAGGTCGGGGCTTTCTTCACCTCCCTGCCCCCCACACCATGCCCTCTGAGCTGGAAGCCAGAGCTGGTGCTCCAGCTATGGCTTCGCGGGCTCCCAACTGCGTGGGGGATGGAGGCCCAAGCGATCTCCCGCACCCCACCCCACTGGGGAAACAGCAGAACAGTGACACACTGTCTGGAGGCACTCCCTGTTGCAAGGGGGGCATAAAGCCAGGTAAGCATGCCTTCTCCCTCCCCCCCCCATGCCTAGACCCCCGCACTCCAAACCTCTTAACTCACTTTCCTCCCCCCGCCAAGACCCCATGCACGCAGCTTACTCCTACATTCTCCTTTTCTCCTCCTGGCCAGATACCCTACTCCCAGCCCGCTGCAGTCTCCCTCCTGCATTCTCCCGCTGCAGTCTCCCTCATACCATACTCCCAGTGCATTCTCCCTCCTGACCATACACCTTACCCCCAGCCTGTCCTGCACTCTCACTTGCTCCTGTACTCTCTCCCCTGGCCAGACATCAACCCCCACTCTGCTCCTGCATCCACCATTGCTCCTGCACCTTTCCTCCTGGCCATACACTGCACACTCCCTTGCTCCTGCTCCCTCCACCTGGCCAGACAACTTACTCCCAGCCTGCTTCTGTACTCCACCTCACCTCCAGATCCTGTACCTCATCCTTATCCCATTTACTGGCAGTTTTCTCCCATATACTGATCCCTCATTTTTGTCTCCATGCCAGAGCCTAAGAGGGTCCATAAAATCAACTAACTCTGGAACCCCAGAAATGTAAATCTGGCTTATGAAAAGCCCTGAACCTCAGTCTTTGTCCCTTTCCCTCGCCCCGTGGGACTGGAGCGCCAGAGGAGTAAGGTGTCTCAGCTGGGGGCCATATCAGTAACGGTTGGAAGTTTCTGGAGTTTTTTTGCTTGTCACTTGTGTGATCTCCAAATAATTTTAATATGAGTCAATGGCCCCTAACCCAAAAAAGGTTCCCCACGCCTGCCATAAATAAAGAAAACATTGATACCTTCTGTGGTGGACAAAAATTAATACTTTACTTTATTTAAAATAAAGTTTAATAAACTAACATGAGACAGATAAAACACTCAATCTGTTTAATAATTTAAATTAACCCATTCTCCTTAGCTGCAGCACTAGCAAAATGGGTTGGGTGTAATTATGCAATTAATGGTAAGTTTCCATTAGCAACTGGTGGTCCACAGAAAGGTTTACATTGACCTTGCTCTGATTTTGGTTTATTATCTTTGCCAGAAATGCCATGAACAGAGGCCCCACCTACTCCTCACCCCTATTATTCTTTGCAACAGAGACAATGCAGCATCCCTAAACAATCCTCTATAGGAAACTGGAGCCCCATTACAATGTGTGTGGGGAAAGAATATCTTCCGTAGACACTCCTAAATTTAAGATTCCAAGAAAAGTGCTACTACCATGCCGTCAAGAGAGGAAAGTCAGGAAGTGCTTCACAACCATATTTTTTTTTATCCAAAGTAACTAGCTTCCTCCTTGAATCAGTTCTGGTTCAACAGTTTAACCTCAAAAGCAGAAGAAAGTAAATGGTCTGTGCTTTCCTGCAGCATCATAATCTTCACCTCCTTATCACTCAGTCAGACTTTCAGTTAGCCTTTTCCAAATCGATGTGCTAATGAGATTTTTTTTAAAGTTGTACATGCAGCATACAATCTCAGTTTTACTGCAGTACATTTTTACTTGCGCTTTCTTTTTCCTGCTGGTTACAGTTCAGCTGTCAGAGGATCAGCTACATCTGTCACTCACTTTAAAAGTCTCAAAACAAGTCTAGTTAGCATTTATAAGAGTCTAAAAGCTAAAGTATAAGATGTTAACTACCTTAAAAGGAGCTATAGCACACATGAAATCTTTATGGAAAAGAGTTTTACTATACATAGCTCTGTGTGTGATTACATGCTAAAGCCTTCTAAAGTGGTATTGTAATCATATAACATTTTAAAATATATGCATTTAAATAATGGGCCACCAATAGTTTATTCTTTAGCTATTCAGATCATGCTCTACTCCTAAGTAGAGAATAAAATTTATTGAATACCTTTGATATGAAGTTTATTCACATTTTTCTCCCCAAAAGTTAAGCAGTGAAGAATGACTTAGGAAACCTGTTAAGATTTGTAACACTGGTCCTCATCTACAATAACCCTGCCATAAATCTAATTTACATAACCTCAACTAAACCAATAGTCAACATACTACAGTAGTGCCTTGCTAACCAGGTGGATACAGTGGAACAATTATTTTAGGCAATTATATAGCTTTACTTTTTACTAGATGGTAACTCATTTTTTTACTTGTGATTTGTGTCAAGCTGTGTTTGGACAGAAATTCAAATACAGTTAAAATGCATCCTTTTTATTAAATAAAACTTTCTTCAATGTGCTATATATGGAAGAAAATGTATCAAGTCATGTTTTCCATTTAGAACTAAATAATTTATTAAACAAAAGAAGTTTATAATTAGTTAATTTAACTGATTGTTACTTATGGCTGGTTAAAATGGCTTTAACGTCATTTTGTCAAGGCAACCATTTTCCTTCCCAAGTCCTACAGATACTTTAAAAAAAAAATCTCATTCATGAGAAGCCTTATTTACTACATTGCTCTGTTGAATTAGTCTTGTAAACTGACTGACTGTTCTTAAAAAAAATTAACTACATGTTATTGGAAAGAAATTCTGAATCTGAGGACAAAACAGGACAGTCAAAAAACTAATTAAAAGGACCACTTTTGTTTCAAATGTCAAACTGCATTTCCTGTATACCAAACTATACTAGACAATTTCCTGCTGGAGGACACAGCATTTACTCAATATGTATTTACCAAGTAAAGGCTATGCAGTTTGCCAATCTGATTATTTGTTACTTTGAAGAGGATGCTGAAAGTCAGAGGTAACTCTAAAAAGCCCAACCAAAATACTATTTACCTAATATTTACTAATTCTTACTACACTCGCTATTCTGGCACTACCATCTAAGCACCTAATATATGCTAATTTAATTACTTTCCTTCAATTACTAAGCATTCTAATTTATATTGAGTATGTCACATTTTCATGTAATTATAAATATTCATTGGACTATGTATGTATTTAAATTAGATTATGTTTATATCTTAGAAATATTAGTAATAAAGTCTTGCTTTCTTGACTACTTTTTGGAGAACTTGTTGGTTAATTTGTATGAGGAGCAAGAATGTCAACTTCAAGGCAGATTCTTTCATAGCACTTTAAAAACACACGCTGACAAGGACAATTTTCTAGTCTCTGCTTTAACATCACTCAAGTCCTGCTCTCTGTCTTAGCTACTTTTGCCTCCTTTCCATCTTTGTAGTTTATTTTCTAGCAGATTTAGAGCTACATACGCCATACCACATTGAACACCCAGATGTGTTCAATGACCCAGATCTTGATCAGAGCACCCACTGAAGCAGCAAGAAATTGACAAGATGGTTCACTTTCACTCCTACCTTAAAATCAAAGCAGCAGAACATGAGTTTTGTTAAATATCTATGCACTTTAAATGTGAAACTGCTTTAGTCAAAACTCGGTTTATCCAGCAAAAACATACAACATCCCGAGCTTTAATTGGTTGGTCTTCAAGGCAGTATGATTCTTGAGCTAAGTCTCCTATCTTAGCTGCCTGGGGTTTCCAATAGGATTGTGTCAAGAATGAGTACCCAGGTAGTAAAAACAGGGTAAAGCAAGCAAACGCATATTAAGTTTTTATACTTTAGAATAAGTACATGTAAGCTAAACAAAGGGGTTACCAGAAACTGAGAGGGAGCACATTGCTTCTAAAGATCCTTTCCACTGGAACCAGAAATGCATACAGGAGTTTTAACACCACTTCATAATTATATTTACCCTCCATTTCAAACCAACACTTCACAGTCATTATTTTAGTGACACTGGATCTGTATCTTACCCATGAATACAAGAAGCATTAAGCATGTAAGTTCACTGTAATAATTCTAATATTCCATTTCTAAACCAGTATATTCCTATTTTTAATATGAAGGTAGATTAAAAACAGGAGAACTGTTGATAGAGATGCAGTCTTTATAATTGGTTGATCATAAGTTTCCCATTTTATAAAATGTCATCTTCTCCGTGTCTCTCTTGTAGGGATAACATATCAATGTATTAAAAATGTGATTCCCACAAATGGAAGTGACTCCCCATAATTTGTTCCCCACAACTTAAAGTGTTTAGATTTATTATTAATTCTTCTTCTTATTATTATTTGTTAAGATTGTTAAATGTTTAGATTTATTATTATTATTGCCCCTTTAGAATATAATGTATTAGGTCATGTAACTTAGAACTGTTAAGAATATAATCCTATGTAGCCAGAAACAGCCCCCCCTCTGTGCTCCAGGGCATGCTCAAGCTTGTGCAAGGGGCTGCTTGAAATTGACATTGCAGAGCTACATTGTAACAATGCATTGTCAAGCCACTAACTCTGCTATGGGAGCCAAGCCCTGTAATTGACTAAGGGCATTATTACTTACTTAACGCCTGTTCTCTTTAAAACATTGTAACTTTATTCAGCACTCAGAGAATGTTTTAAGCAATACCACCCAGAAACTTTTGTAACTACAACTTTTATTATTATACAAAATACTGTATGAATGTATGAGAGAGTGCTTGGACCAAAAGGTGTCAAGTGGAGAAAACCAAGTACTAGAGGTCCACCCTTTGAGATCACTGACGAGCACCT